CAAAGCTGACCAGGCCTTCAATCGGACAGCTTTGCTACAAGCTCCAGCGCTGGCAGGCATTCATCCTCATATATGAAGATACAGAGTCCCAGATCTGTAGCTGACCCTGAACTTTGACCTTCTAGCAAAAGGGAGAATTGGTCTCCCCATCTGGATTCAAAATATACAACATAATTAGAAGTCATGAAAGATAAAGTTTGTTTCCTTTGTCACTTATCATATTTGTGTCTCTTTACCTAATCCAGACAAAAAAGCAAGTACTTTGGGTTAAAAAAAAAAAAAAAAAAAACGTCTTCCACTTCCTGTCTTTGTGTCTTAGCATGCATATTTGTATAAGCCAAAGTGCCTGAGTTGGTAAAAAGACAAAATCAATCAAGTGGAACAACACAACGTAGACCTTGTGTTTGAGGTTCCACCCAGCTTGAAGGCCACATCAGCGAAAAACAATGAGACACAACCATTTTTAATATTCCTTCAAAGTCCAAATGCAGTCCTGTTAAAAAGTACACCCAATGATTCAGTAGCTACCTTTAGAAGCAGTAACTCGAAGTTATAATTTTCTGTTTAACTTTATCAGTCTCTCACATCGCTAAGAAGGAATTTTGGCCCACTCTTTTTTACATTATTGCTTCAGTTCATGTGGGCATTTATTTATGCACATCCATTTATAGTATTTCAATCAGGTTGAAGTCAGGACTTTGACTGGGCCATTGCAACGCCTTGATTTATTTTTTTCTTCTTCATCCATTCTGCTGTGGATTTGCTGCTGTGCCGGGAATCACGGTCTTGTTGTATGACTCAGTTTTAGCGAAGCTTTATCTTTTAGACAGATGGCCTCACATTTGTTTCTACAATACTTTGCTATTCAGAGGGGTTCAATGTCGACTCAATGAGCGCAAGCTCCAACTTTGTAAACCTAAGCCATCCTGCCATGTCCTTTTTTAGAAAGAGGAAACTCTTCCAAATAAGCCATACACATTCAGTCTTTTCATAATTGTACTGTCGTGAACTTTAACATTTAACATGCTAATTAACGTCTGTAGAGTCTGAGATTTAGCTTTCTAGTTTGTCTGCAGTTTCTCTGAATGTTTCACAAGACTGCATACTGCCGTGTGTACACTTTCTTATTCACTGTATGTGAATGTATACATACCAACTTATACTCAAGCAAAACAGCTAAGGCATTTTAATGGTTTGTTTTAATTTACCTCTGTATTTTTGGAAATGTTTGATTAATTAAGACAAATTTCAGGAGAATGTTATGTAAAATAAATATAGGACTTCCTGTATCTTATTATCTGGTTCTAGCAGTTGTGTTAAGCTAACTACTGGCAGTTTGCCCTTTTCTGCATTGTCAGGTGCAAGAGGACTATATATCACCTTATCCATCTGAAATATGCTCACTAGTGCTTAGGTGTTGTTTTATTTTGCGTGAGTGGCACATGCAGTCTTAAATTGTCAGGCTTCTTCCAATGGTGTGTAGCCCTTATGTCAGTGAGTTTACTTTTTGCCTCCATGTTGTTAACTGTGGGCTCCATACATTTGAACTTGTGGAACATACAGACCCCGTCAAAGCAATATTAGGCATGAGATGTATGAGATTTTGCATCTTCCAGTACAATTCAACTAAGTTTGCACTTGGATGTATTCGTGGCTCATACTACGGTAGTTCACTGAGTCCAGTTGTAGGTTGTCATCTTTTGTCAGCAGGGTAGAAATCTGCATGCACACAAAAAAAGGAGATTTTATGTCATGATATCAAATGGAGCACAAAAGACATTTGCAACCTAAACTTGCACAGACAAATGCTCATGCACCCTGGTTGGAATGTAGTCTGACACAGAGATTACTGATATCTATTACTGCATGCACGGTCCGTCAGTCACTGATCTGCTCAGGGAGCAACAGGGAGGTCCTGTGCTCTTTGTTGTTGCTGTGTCTAGTTCCTTGTTAGAGAATTGATGACACTGTCTTTAGAAAACAAACAAGGCGGGAAGCTAAAAAGGTGGTCACTCACCACAGCTCTCTGACCCAGAGACACCGGGGCCAGAGCAACATGTGAACAGCGCTGAAACTTTGCCCTAGGAATGCACAGCGGTGTGTGCGCACACGCTCTTGTTTGTGTTTCTGTGATACCGCAGCTGGAATGTGACTGTCTTGTGCCTGAATGCCTTTGTGTGTTTCAGTGTCAGCTTCCTATAAGCAGCGCTGATAACCTGCATGCAAAATTTTAAAGAGAGAAAAAAATCAGATTAAACAAAACCCCATTCACACTTTGACTTTTTTGTCATATTTGTGTTACTCTGCTGGATGCCAAAACAAATGTTCTGTGTTTCCTTCTCAGGGAAGTGCAGAGAAAGTGCAGGTGAATGTTGGGCTGAGTAATTGATCGATCTAGCTGTGACACACTCTCTTTGGAGAAACTGTCTTGCTAGAGGCTACTTCTGTCACTCCCTGCTCTGACTCACGCTTCACATCACAGCCCAGATCGTGGCCCTGGGCCTCCTCTGTATGCACACACTGAGCCCCGCCCCAGGCCCCCAAGCCTTGCTCTAAGGGAGCTCAAATCCCATAATTGCAGAGCTGACAGTGATAGCTAACATACGAGACACCCTCACCTGGTTGGAAAGAATGAAAACATCTACTGTCAGCGTGAAGTGAGGAGATGAGTGGGGGTGGGACCAAGTGGTGAGGAAAGTTAGCAACATGTGGGACAAAACACTGGGGAAAATAGTAACTGGGTGTTGTGTGATAGCAAGGTGTGGGATTAACTGTAGCACTTTAGCTAGGAATGTTTTTGTAAGGGGTTCATAAGGCTTAACCAAAGATATAAAAAGGCTTAAATAATGATTTGTCCATGGCTGAAAGATCAGAAGTTAGACTTTGTTGCTAGTTATTATCATTATCTTATTTTATTTTATTTTATTTTATTTTATTAGGAGGGGTAGGGTAGGAGGTGAAGACTGTGAAAATAAATTTGACAAATGTATATCCAAAAGCATTACTTCATATTCACACTTAATTAATATAACAGCCATGCATTTGTATAAGGAGGAATGCTTACAGTGTTGCAGAACGTTGATTCAGTTTCTCTGGATGCAAGAATCCAGACAAATACTTGGGAATTGTCTTGAGCACCCACAGTGCTTCTTGTACCCACAAAATCACAAGGACAGCATGCAAACTGAAACACAGCAAGGCCTCTGCAAGTTCAAATCTAGAGTCCTTCTCGATGTGAGGAGACAGAGCAAACCACTGCTCCACCTAAAAGGTTGTCTATAGTAGTGCTTCTCTGAGTCATAAAGCATGAATGCCTTGAATAAATGGATTCCACAAACTTTTTTTAAAGCATTTTTTCCTGGTTAACTGTAGGAACAGAAGCAATATTCAAAAATAATATCAGTATATTATCAATAAATTTCTGCTGCTTGTATTTAATCCCATTCTGTTTTCGTGGTCTCCACTAAGTACTGGGAGGGGGGAAATCATCTATAGCAATTACGTTTCATTATAACCATTGCCAACTCTGTCTGTCTTCTGTTTAGTGCTGGGCAAATATTTTGCAAGAGATCTGTAAGAACCTCTTAGTGAAGATATCCTGCTGCAGCTAAAATCAAGGCAGATGGGCCTGGGACTGAATAAAAAGAGCAAAGCTGCAGGAGCAAAACAAAGAAAAACGAAGAACTAGTGCAGGATGACAGTTGTCAGTGCGTTTATAAGTGAGCTGCTTCAGATTTGGTGGTGTCATTTGAGCCAATGGTAGTATAGAAATATAATAAGCACAGTCTTAACTACATTGGCTTGGTCCGTGTGGTGTTCTCTATTTTATCTGTCAGAGACATTAACAGCAATTAATGACATATAACTTCTCCTTACAATAAGATTACCAACATAACTGGTTTGTCACAAAATACTTCTTGTTACTTCTTGTTACAAATATAGTATGGATGCCTTTGCAAAAAAGGCTAAAATGCACACTTGTTAATGTGAGAAGAGAAATATTCCTAATCTAGAAATTAATGTTAAAAATATATTTCCTTAAAATACGTTTTGTGCAAATTATTGCACATTACAAATTATTACCCATGACATGTAAGTGTGATTTTTATGTTGTCCATGCAGAAAGTGGAGCTAAATTGTATTTTGTACTCTAATGAGCATTTTAAACTATAACAGTCCATCAGTGCATGGGAACATCTGATTGTATTGTTCATGTTTTAAATCTTTTAATTTGATATGTTAAAAATGGCTTACAGTTAAACAAAATAGAAAAAAGAAAATAATTTATTTAAAAAAAATGTAAGTAGCATGAAAACACTCAAAGCCAGCACTTCAGCACTAGACAAATATGTGTATTTAATTTCACCCCACATAAACTTTTATTACCCATCATTTGTCATAATGCGAAACTTTTGAACTACAAAAACTAAAGTCGAGCCGTGCAACTGCACTCTTATTATACCAGACAGAAAACATAACTAAGTCTTGTCTTCCCACAAAGTCGCCCTCCTGGTCCCGGAGAGCAGGCTGGAGTGGCCTTCATTTATCAACCACTTCAGCTCCTGCAGACAGCTGTGGGGAGAGCACAGAGGAGCCAGTGTGTTTACACCACAGCTCAGCCTAGGCCCTCAGGACAGAACAGATTAGGACACTTGCACATATTCGTCTGCAGAGCATGGTGACCTAAGCGTGATAGCTGTCTGATCAGCCGGAGTTCGTATTTACATTTATGATGTGACGATGATACAGCAATCAGTCTGTGAGCTCTGACCTTAATTTGTGTTCTATTATTTATTAATGGAAGAATTCTTTCTGTACCAAGTCATGCCAACTAAAGCTCTGTTTAGATGCTCTAGATATGAGCTTTAAAGCAGGTTTATAGCACCACCTTGTGGCGTAGAAATTAAATGCGCTAATCTCATGCACCGCCCACTCGCAGTGACGCTTCCTCAACCCCACACATTAGCTAGAGGATTTGTCAATCCCCTGCCCGCGGCGTTCATTGGGCAACAGCGCCTGTGCGTTTGTTTTATTGACCTTTGAACTGACAGGGATCAACGCCGAGAGCGATTTCTATTGGTAAATCCACTCACACCCACTTTGCAGTGACCAAATCCAAGTTGAAGGTGAAAGTCTTCCATCATCCCGCTCAGCCAGCTGATCAAGTGACAGCTCGTCTCTTCGTGCTGCCGCAGCCTCCCACAGTGCAAAAAAAAAGAAAAGTAAACAAATAAATAAATATATATATATATATATATATATTTATTTTAAAAAAAATGTCGCTATTTTCTGAAGTCCCCCAGGCTGCCCCTGTGGCTGTCTTCAAGTTGACGCAGGATTTCAATAACGACCAGTTTCCAAATAAGGTGAACCTCGGAGTAGGAGGTAAGTTGTGCATTGTTGTCAGTCATTCATTGCATCCCAGAGGGAAAGGTTCTCCAGCCTGTCTTACACCGAGTTCATCTATGTTTGTATGATGGTGCCCTCATATGAATTTCTAACAAGTTGTTGTTATTATAATCAGAAAGTGACACAAAATTGACTGCTAGCCTCAAACTAAGCACAGCAATAGTTAAAACAGCCTGCTGACTGATATCTGAGCTGTAAAATCTAAACAGAAGCTATCTAGATGTAACTTTAATCAGTTTAGTACACCAGGCAGTCCAGAATAGTGATGGCTCACCTGTGCTGTAATTATTGCTATTGCTTAAATTCATTTTCGGATTAACATAGAGACTGTGAGTATCCGTTAATCTGGCCGCGCTACAGGCTGCTCAGTCATCACACACCCACCAACTACTGATTGCAGCTCTGTTGATAATATATCTTTGTTCTGCAATTAGTGTGACACTGAGAGCTGAATCATCTCTGTCCTCTGCTATCCTGCACCTCTCACTCAGCAGACCAGGCAGCTGATTGGATTACTGTTCTGTCATTACACAAGAACAAGCAGGAGTTTAAATTTATTACAGCCCAGTCGTGCTTCTCTCCGAAACAAACCACTGCCACATTTCGTCCTTGAGAGCAGCTGTTTTCTGTGCTAACCTCTCTGCAAGGAGTCATTTCTTCGCTGCTTGAATTGCACAGGAACAGTGTGAGAAGCGTTGATCGCTTAGCTCTGTTTTGGCAGGACAAGGATACCTGAGTCCTGTGATTAGCAGAGGAGGCCGAGGCCTCGTAATCCCTTTCTTTCTCCAGATGGTCAGCTGCTACATGACAGCTGGGAAATGTAGGCCACACATTTCTCTCTACCTAAAAAAACACAGAGATCTGAAAAAGATCCTTGACTGTAAGGATTTTCTGCTTTTCTGTGACTTTTCAGTCACACGTGACTATAGTATCGGCCCTAGATCTTAATTTAGATGTATTATTACAGATAATCAGTGCCTTTCCAGCTAGTGGACATAACAGAGAGAAAAAGGTAGATCATCAACATCGCCTGGCTAAATCACCCAACAGATATTGAAAGTGCGCCTGTCACAAAACCCTGTGATCTTTGCACTTCTGTTATGACTCAAGAGTCCCATAAAGTCACAAACATCAGGATTACCAAGGTACAGGTGTTAAGCTCGCAAGCTAACCACTTCTGTCTGTTGTATCTGTTTACTGAGCAATTTAAGGAATGTTATATTTAATCTTACTTAGAGGTTTCTTTTTGCTTAAAACTCACTAAAAAAACAACATATCAATGCAGGAGGGAAGGGCCGCTTCCTACTATATTAAGCCATTCTTTCACTTTTTTCTGTAACATTAAATCGCATTGTTCCTTGCAGCCTATCGGACAGATGAAGGCCAGCCCTGGGTTTTGCCGGTGGTGAAAAAAGTGGAGAAGATCATTGTGCATGATGACAGGCTAAACCACGAGTACCTGCCAATCCTGGGCCTGCCTGAGTTCAGATCCTCAGCCTCCAAAATAGTACTGGGAGACAACAGCCCTGCCATCCAGGAAAACAGGGTTTGTGGAGTCAAAAGCCAAACGACACTCTTTGAATTTCTAATGTTGTTACATTTAAACTGACTGTTCGAATGTCACTGCCAGGTCGGGGCTGTCCAGTGTCTGGGTGGTACGGGTGCTCTGAAGATAGGCGCAGAGTTTCTAAGGCGGTTCTACAATGGGAGCAACAACACCAAAACACCCATCTATGTGTCTGCACCTACCTGGGGTACATTCAAGCACACACACAAACAAGCAGTGAAGTAGCACACACCTGCAGAGGACTTTAATTTACAGGTTGTTTTGTGAACTTTCCCCAGACTTTAAACTGTAGTTGTTGATAAAGTGTTCTATTGATAAATGTCTTGTTACAGCTGCATGTTATCAGTGAGCCTGGCTGTATTGTCAGGTCGGATGTGAGGAGTATTTAAAAAAGCATTATTCACTCTTTTATCTAATGAAAGCAATGATAAAAATCGAACGCTGCCCTCAGAGTTTTTCTTACTGTTTTTCTCAGAAAATCACAATGCTGTGTTCAGCAGCGCTGGCTTCGAGGATGTTCGTCCGTACAGGTACTGGGACGCGGAGAAAAGAGGCCTTGATTTGGCTGGCTTCCTCGGTGACTTGGAAGTAAGTACTGCGTGGCAGCATACTGTTCACTTATTACTACATTTTGGTCTTCTGGGTTTCACATTGCTTCTTCATATCTCCGTTTCCCACAGAGTTGTCCAGAGCACTCAGTCTTTGTCCTGCATGCTTGTGCCCATAATCCGACAGGCACAGACCCCACGCAGGAGCAATGGAAACAAATCGCTGAAGTTATGATGGTAACATGCGTATAAAGTGCATGCAAACATATACAAATTGTCTGTACTGTGGTCTGAACTGCCACTACTGGCAAAAAGGTGTCATTTTAAACAGGATATTATTTTGCATGCACAGTGTTTATCTCAGTATGATAACCCTTTGATCTTTTATCCGGTTCTCTCCCAGAGGAGGAAGCTGTTTGCGTTCTTTGACTCGGCTTATCAGGGATTCGCCTCAGGTAGTCTGGAGAAAGATGCCTGGGCGGTGCGCTACTTTGTTTCCTCGGGCTTTGAAATGTTCTGTGCCCAGTCGTTCTCCAAGAACTTCGGACTCTACAGTGAGTGATCCTGTGTGTAAAGTGTGCTTTGTATGAATCTACAGAAAATCCCAAGCTAAATCAATTGCAGGGATTAAACTTTGCAGGAAGAGTAACCTTAATATACATCGGTCTTATTTTCAGATTATGCTGAGTATAATGTGCACAGAATACATCAAAACTCTGTTAAATTGAAAGGAATAGCCACAAAATTCAAATTAAGCAAGTCTCAGATTCACCAGAGGAGGAGCTGTTTATCAGATACTGCACCTACACATCAGGTAACAGGTAGTATCTACTGTATTGTTTAACTGTGACATGTTTTTGTCCCATCAGACGAGCGTGTGGGCAACCTGACCGTTGTGGCTCGCGATGCAGATAACCTGAAACGAGTTCTCTCCCAGATGGAGAAGATTGTCAGGATCACCTGGTCCAACCCACCATCTCAAGGAGCTCGTATTGTCACCATCACTCTTACCTCACCTGAGCTTTTTAGTGAATGGTAAGTGTAAAATAGCATCATTAAACGATGACTCATACCTGTGCATGAGGCAATATTAAAAAGCAGTCGATATCAGACATGCAGAGTGTTTTCATTCTCTGACTTTAGGCAAGAGAATGTGAAGACCATGGCTAACAGGGTCTTGCTGATGAGGTCTCAGCTGAAAGCTAAGCTCCAAGCTTTGGGGACACCAGGGACCTGGGACCACATCACAAACCAGATCGGCATGTTTAGCTTCACAGGCCTCAACCGTGAGTACAGCAATCACTTCCTTCTGCACACAATCACAGCTCTGTAAAAATGCACATTCCACTGGTCAGTTTAACAAACAATTTCATGACATCCAAGTTGTTTTAGTTTTTGGGGGGTCGATTTTAAAAAGATCTTTAAAAGATTCAAACACAGTCAGTAAAACTTAAACCAGTATCTGGTGATTTTCCTGCAGCCAAACAAGTGGAATATTTGGTGAAGGAGAAACATATCTACTTAATGGCGAGCAGTCGCATCAACATGTGCGGTTTAACCACTAAGAACATCGACTACGTGGCCGAGTCCATCCACGAGGCCGTCACCAAGGTCCAGTAGAAGAACGGCACCATATCTCCAATTCTCACCACTTCCTGCTGCATTCCTGATCCATCCTGATCACAGGGAATGTGTTTGCATCCAGGTTTCCAGATTTTTCTGGAGCAAATACAAATTCTCATGTGCACAGAGAGCTCACAGGCCCCTGGTTTCTCATTCTTTTTCAGTATTTGTGCTATGCTAGGCTAAATGCATGCTGGGACCAAGTTCTCTATAGACTGCACAAAGATCGTTTGGATCTTTTTTAAGAGCCACAATTTTCCAAACTCTGGAGTACTTATGTAATTGTGTTCATCATTTTTCACCCTTATCTTAGTCCCCAATGTATTGTTTGTTGCTCAAAATATGTGTTTAGTATTTCAAGTTTTATGCATCATTAGAAGCAAGTCTGTGGCTGTATTACGGTTCCTCAGCAGCACTGACTCTACAGTCTAAAAATGTTATACTGTTCATGACTCATCCATTCAAAGTGTGAAATAGAAGTATTTGTGTGGACAGCAGTAAGAGTTGTTAAGGGGAATGAGAAAAAGAGAATATTAACATGACTAATCTGTATATTTGTGTTTACCACCCCGACGATGAATGAAGAATAAAGAGGCAGTGTTTGTCATTTCTAGATTAAATGTGAACAAATGTTCTAAGGAGGATTTAAGCCTGAACTATGTAATCATATTCATGACAAGGCTCTATGCTAATGACCTCACATTTAATCTGTATTTGTAGAGTCTTTTTTTTTGCTTCCAGTTGACATTCAGTGAGCACAAATGACACTGAGCGTTCTGAACAGGTGTCGTGAACCTGGGGTCGTCACTGCATGCTGAAGGGTTTTGATGTTTCTGGTTCTGTCAGGTACCTGCCAGTGGACGTTGACTGTTCATAGCAGCCGGGCACTGTTACGCAACATTCGTTTGTCACAGCACAAACAAACTAATGATCAACCAGGTTGCTGTCGCACTACTACGCAGGGCATTTACGAAACAGACGTATTGTTAAGCAATGAAAATGTCCTCAGACATTCTGATCAAATGAATGAACTACTTCAATAAAAAACTGTCAAACAGATGTGTGTGAAACTGAGTGATAGTGTTTGCATATAAGCACCGACCTTTAGCAGGCCCTGCAGATGAAGACAAATGAAGCAGACAAGAGCAATACTCCAGTAGATTTATTAATAAATTAATTTACCCTTGTGTAGAATGATTGATCCATTTCTTGATATCTTTGGGTTGCTAATATATTCCTCTGAATTTTGCATTACAAAATGTATCTTTGTTAGTTTACCCCAAACTAACACTACATCAATCCTTACAAATATAAAGAGGTGAAAACCAACTGCAAATTCTGTAAAAGCCTCACCCCTAAAGTTCCAGATTCACACTTAGAGTCAACAGATCAAAACACACTCCCCCAGCGTGTTTGGTACAGCGGGGTCATTGTAAAAAGCTTAGCAGTGCAATAACCTTTGTACTTAGCCTTACCAGGCAGATTGAATTAAATCACTGAGCGTACCAGAACACCACCTTTGTGTGCATTTGAAAAGAGGCGGTGGCTTGACGTCAGTGTATGTCATATTGCTTTCGTCAGGCAAATCTCCCTCTGTTCAGGTTCAAGATTTCAAGAAAAGAGATCAGTGTAGTCCACTGGGGGACTAACTCACAATTTAAATAGAATCAATTCGTTTATTATTGCAGTAGGAGATTATTTCCTGTTTCTTATTAAAATGTTCCTTCTTGAGCAGCCTTCTTGTGCTTCCTCTGAATTCCCCAATCCCCATGTACATCATTAGTAGCTGTTAAAGCGGAACCTTCAATGAAGTCTGCAGCCTTGTTTTGTGCTTCTCCATTAGCTGGCAGCATTTGCTGATTCTTTTCAACGTTAGCAATTAAAACCCAAAATCTGCTGCCTATGTGTAAGCCATCTTAAAATCTACATAGGATTCAGGAAAGTCAAACAGCGTCTCAGTGCTGAGAATGTACTGCAGCCTAGTCATGCATCGTAGTCATGCATATGGAAAAGCAGGGGGTAATTCTATAGTAAAAGCAACACAGAGAAACATGCAAGTAGCAACTTCTTCTTCAGTAATGCCCCTAATGTTCATCTGGATCCCCTAACCCAAAGATCCAAATCCCATAAACCCCTAGCTTATTTTTAATTGGTGTGTGCAGCTTTAGTGAGTGACCCTGTGTGAAATGAACTGTACATAGACAACTTTCTATGCTCCCTATGAAATGCACAAAAGACAATGTGTTCTGCTGAATGCAATCAAACAAGAGATTAATGACTGTTTATCTAAAATATGAAGACACCGAGGAAAAAAGGTGGAATGGTGGTTGCTTGATAGAAACACGTAAGGTGTGTCTGTACAGCTACATTTATGAACTTTATGAATGAACGTGGAGTGCAGTGATAAGTCCAAGCGATTTACAGTATTTAGGAGGACTTATATTGCTATCTTTAAATTACTTTCCTCACACTTCCATATAAAAACTCAGGTATATGACTATAACCCTCTACGTTGCTGAGTCACTGAATACAACAAGTAGTCTTTCAAGCTGAGGATTAATTGGTGGCTTTTTTTTTTAAATATAGGTATATAGTTACAATGTTTCTCTTAAAAAAAAGTTGTGCTCTTATTGTTTGGCTTCCTATTTCCGCCACTGGTTAGTGTGTGTTGGGTTGTGTGGCAGTAGTTTGCCGCCTTATGGCAACATTAGGACAGTTCCCTGTGCAAACAGTGGTTTCAGTACAGTATGTGGAAACTGCCTTGTTAACATGACAACTCAATAATAAATATCAGTGTATCAGCTGGCTCAGATACTATCTAAGGCCCTTGTTGGGTTTATAGTGACAAAATTCAAAAACAAGTTACAGTTTAAATGTTATGAATAAATGTTAACCTTGTGGATAGAGCTAACATATAAAAGAAGGATGTGCCAGTAACTACAAAAGATGCACTGGTGCAAAGCTGGATAACTCAAATACTACTGTTTAGATCTGTCCAATCACGCTTTATATATCAAGTGGGCCAGGGTGGGACCTGAGTATTTTTGATGGCTACAGCAGATAAGATGGCTCAGTATCCTGAGAGTTGAAGGGGGTATACGAAGAGTTTGTAGTTAATGTAGTTAATCTTGTGAATGATAAAGAGGAAGAGGATGTGTGCGTCATCCCTCTTCCTACATGCCACTGTGCTAGCTCGTCACTGGCTGTTGCTCTGAACCTTCCTCCAAACTGTTTTCTCCATCCCGAGACTTTTTCCTCCTCTTGTTACCTAGAAACAGATGAGAACATGTTGTGAAAATGCAGCAGCTCTCATTTTTATAAAGACCAAAAGCATGATACTTGTACTACTTTTAAATTAAACTTGTCACAAACTAATATAACATCAGATGTACAGTACAGCAGAACTACAGCCTCAAATAAATAGATAAAAGTAACTGTGTTATATTGTATGTGATCCAGAATGGCTTAGTTGCATCTGGAGAATGAGCTTTGCAGGAAGCAGCAGGCTGTTGAGAAAGACGTAGCACATCACCTGTTGCTAAGATACACTCGGCACCGTCGCTATGTCTGACAGAAAAGTTGGGGCACATCTGACAGCATGTGTGGGAGTGCTGTCGCATTAGTGTTCATGACAAATGGCTTACTCACTCAATTTACGCAATAGCTTCTTGCCAATGTTCTCCTCAGAGCTGGACAGAGACAAAGAGCTTATGAAGGGAGAGGTGGATGGCTGAGACTCTGTAGGCACATCTGAGGGAGAAAGTTCGAGAGTGAAAGGGAGGGGGGTGCTACGTAGATACACGGCCCACACTAGGTGACAAGTTCTGCAAAAGATTTTGTAGAGTAGCTTTAAACTGAGATTCCTTAACTTGTGACGTAAGTAAAAAAAATGAACACATCCTCCACAGCTTGAAAACCAGGAAATACAGAACTATATTCACGCTCTGGCCACTTTACTAGGTACACTTAGTACCATGTTGGACCCCCTCTTGCCTTCAGAACTGCCTTAATTCTTTATGGAATGATCATGATTACACCACCCAGTTGCTGCAGATTTGTTGACTCCACATCCACAATATGAATCTCCCATTCCATCACATCCAAATGGACCTCTATTGGATTCAGCTCTATGCTGGCCATTTGGGTACAGTGAACTCACTGTCATGTTCAGTAGAACAGTCTGACATCATTTGAGATTTGTGACATGTCACATTATCCTATAAACGTTGGTACTAAGGGGACCGGCCATTCTCCTCTGAACTCTGACATCAACAAGGCATTTTCTCCCAGAGAATCATCGCTCACTGAATGTTTTCTCTTTTTCTGATCATCATTCATGGTTATGTAGGAAAATTCCAGGGGATCAGCAGTTTTTGGCACCAACAACCATGCAACACAAGTCACCTCTCTTCCCAATTCTGATGCTCAGGTTGTCCAGACATTGTCTACATGCCTAATTACTGCTACATGAAAAAATATTTGTGTTAAACAGAAACAGGTGTATCTAATAAAGTGACCAGTGAATGTATCTCTTTACTTATGGAAAAAAACGTTTTCTGGAAACTTTTTTTTTTTCATTTGAAGATGAAAAAATTAAATGTTTGATTGTTGGCTGTATCGAGCGGCACTCACCATCCTCTCCATGACTTTCTGGCCGGTCCTCATGGATATAGGGAATCTCATCCATGCGAAGGAACACGGTATCATTTGGACTTCTCTGCCCATCGGATTTACTGCCTGTAAAATGAAATTAAACAAGTAAACAAGAAGCAGCATATTTGTAACTCTACCTGAAGAGGGAGCTAGAGAGCTTAGTATTATTTAAGTGTTTTGGGGGCCTCCAAGAGGAGGCTGAATATTAAAAATAGTACCCAGTGTAGGATTAAAAGTAAAAAAGAGGACCTACAACTAGCAGAGGAAGTTTAATTCTTACATGGTAATTTAAAGCTGTAGACACTTTTTTTTTTTGACAACCAGAGTGGAGCCATCTGTCCGTGACATTTCTTAATGGAACTAACAAGCACACAAAAGTGGGTGACGGGCTACACACTGCATAAGACAGATGGTATGTGGGACCCCTTTAAGCTTAGAAACAAGTACAGATTGGTTGATGTCACATTTGAACGACTCCTGTGAGTGAGTCATTTTGAATATTTGCCGTTTGTGAGTCATTCTTTACGTCTGTCAGTGCCCTCCATAAATATGTTGAATGAATCCGATTCAAAGTGTTGAATTTCTGTGTTAAAGCTTTTCTCTGATTTCAAATATGAGGCCCAATGAAATGTTAATGCAAGTAAAAAAAACACCATCATTTCGCATCATTAGAGACAGTAAAAACCTCACAGAGATGGTAAAAGCAACAATCTGATACATTCTTAAAAAGAGTGAATGCACTGGTAACCTCAGCAACACCAAAAGGCCTAGCTGAAGAACAACTTTACATCATCTAACCAAGTCAAAAACTCTCTCGAGGAGGTTTTGTATCACTGTCAAAGCCTACAATCAAGAGACTTGTTTAGGAATGGAAATTCAAGGGTTTACAACAAGGTGCAAAGCATCATTTACATTCCAGAATAGAAAGATCAGATTAGATTTTGCCAAAAAACCTCTAAAAGGGCCTGCACTGTGCTGAAAAAAAAAAATCACTCGACCAGATGAAAACAAGATGAACTTGTATGGTTATGGTGGGAAGAGAAAAATGTGGAGAAGGAGAGAAAGGGCTCGTGATCCAGAGCATGCCACACTGTTTATTTGCTCATTATGTGTAAAAGCAACAAAGACTTTCTCCAGGTGAAGAAATTAGATAGTCTTCGACAGCCAAGTCAGTCACCTGATCTCAACTCATCAGTGTGTGATGAATGCAGAATGACCCACAAACAAGCAACAACCAGCTGCAGAAAAGGCCTGGCAGAGAATCTCAAGGGAGCAAACACATTTGGTAACGTTTGGCGTGTTCTAGGCAGCCAAGTGTTTTCATTTTTCAAGTATTAAAAACCTCTTTAAATTTATTTCAGCATGTCCAATTAGTTTTGAACCTCTGAAATTGGGAAAGT